ATTTCCTCTGACAGCAGACTGCAGAACTCTCCATCCATGCCACTTGTTGCTCAGGATTTGATCCCTTTTTGCAGAGTCAAAACCTCATTTTCAACACCAGAGCAGTCCAGCAGAAACACGGACACGAATTTGGACACAATGTCAACCATCCTGGACAACTGCACGTCTTTATAGCTGACTCAATCTCACTTTTATTTTTAAAATCACGGAAAAACATGTCTGCAGCATCAAACGCRTCTTTCATAACTTTGTCATCGCTGAAAGACCTTTTTGTGTTGAGGCAGGATGGCTACATTAAACCTCTGGTGTGAAAATCTATGCTGTGTGGTTTTAGGAGGAAATCTGTGTTTGTGCCTTGTTTTGAAATGCAGTTCCTCGTTATCCTTTTTGGACAAGGCAGCGCTCAAATTACATATGAGTCGTCTTCCCACTCCAGGTGAAAATAATACGTTTTTGTTTGCTTTTTAGCTCGTTTGTCGTTCATTTTTTTCCCGCCTCAAGATCATGTTTTAAACACGTGACCTTAAAGTCTCACAAGATCATGTTCGGAGCGCTAGCTATCGGGTAAGATAACTGTCAGAATCATTGCATGTGTAAGAGTCTAAATTTGTACATGTAAGTCTATAAACGTACATAAATTTCTTACAACTTTGCCACATTACAAGTACGATTCAAATTTACAATAACGAATCAAATTTACAATAACGAATCAAATTTACAAGTACAAATCAGACATAATGCATGGAACACTGAAAAGATCGATTGCAAACAGTAACTAAGCCAGATCACTAGGGGGACATGACCATTACCTCATTTGGGACCAGATGAACTCTTTATAAACACAATTTGCTGAAGTGAAAAGCATTTGGAGGTTTTTAAGTTTGTCATTCATYTCATGTAGTACAACAYTAAAGTAGATAGTGGATTTATGATGAACAACCAAAAAGGAAAACTGATGCTTTCATAAAACCGACTGCATAATGGAAAAAATAATGCAAGTTCAAAAACACATAACGGCAGTGCCCTGACCCGGCCAGCAGGGGAACTCAAGTCCACCATCAAACCCCTAAACAACTGTAAGTTAAACGCTTTCTACTTTTAATAGTAGTTTGTATTATTAATTTCACATTTGGTACACGTAGTACMTGTCAGTATTTGTAAGAGGATGTGTTTAAACAGTTTCTATGCTGAAAGTAGAGCTTCGTTGACTGCTGTTGTTGTTAGCATGGTGTTAGCATTAGCATGATGATAATAGGAAAGAAAAAACAGCCTCATGTTTCCTGTTCAGTCGAAGTTTATTTAGAACGGCTTGAAAAGAAAAAAAAACCTGATTGGTGTTAACTGTG